TGCACGGGCAAGCAGGGTCCCGTGTCCCTGCGACATGGCAAGGCAGCCCACAGCCCCCCTTGCTGCCATCTGCCCATGGGACAAAACCAGTATCACCTTCGTCACCCAAGCAAACCTCTCCTGGGTAGCCTAACATGGTATGGGGGCACTAGGATGGACCATGGTGCAGGGAAAAGGCAGGCAAAGGCACAGCCAAAGAGACTGAAAAGACCCAGTTCTCAGCACAAGCAACAATTTGATTGGGAAAACTTGATGCCACCCTTATTTTAAGCATTAGCAAATTATTCTAATACTAATTACAAAATGTTTGTAATTATTATTTAAAAAAAAAAAATCACTTCATAAATCCTGCACTCTGCTATTGTTTCCAGCCTTCTGTGATGGATAAATGGAGGAAATCAATAATTATTGCGAGGGCTGCTTAGTGGGAGGGGAGGATAATGAGGGAACCAGCACGGGGCCGCTTGCTCCTTGACATTCAACTGGTGGGACATGTCCCCCCCGCTACCCCTTTCCCAAATCCAGCCCTCCATGCACAAGGCAGGAGGGAAGGACAAACAGAGAAGGGAGACAAAGAAACGAAAGGGATGAACAAGGCCAAAATAAACCCACACACAGCTTTGGCAAAGGCTCAGCACAGCCCGGCGTGTCGGTCAGCAGCTGAAGAAGGACTGGGGGACCCGGACGCAGATGGGGTAGGGGACCGGCTGCCTTGTGGAAAGCCATGGATGCCTGGGAGCAAGGATGCTCGAGGAACAGCCTCTGCATCGCAGGCATTGCAGCCCAGCTTTGTTCTTATTTTGTGAGGGGTTGTTTTTTTTTTTAATTTTGCCATCCCTGCTAGCTCAGATTTCCAGCTGTTGCAAGCAAGCAGGTCGGTTTGTTATCCCCAGCCACGGCAGCTTGGAGGCTCCCGACCACACTACGACAGGAATTTGCCAGGAGGGGAAAACGAAAGCGAGACGACAAACCCAGGAAGCAGCAGGACCGCTCTCTCGCCCCTTATCCCTACATTTATAAATACAAAGTAAAAATTGAGCACAAAGCTGATTTAGATACAGACTTTTTCTTTCGGTGGCTTCTCTGGGCAGCTGAGCTATTGCCTGGTATTGGGAAGGTCAGAGAGAAAGTCAGCGTGATTCCAGCAGACACAAATTCAGTGCCCCATCCTCAGAGTCAAAAGGGATAAAAGCTGAGACACCCACAATTGCTGTCATTCTAGTGAGAGGTTACTTGCCATCATTAGGTTTCAGAGTGAAACACCAGCAGAGAAAGGGTTTAATAATTTTCCTCGAGAAGAACAAGCGAAATCCACCCAGCATGCTCATCCAAGGTCTCGAATGATTTCCCTGGCCTCCCAATGATCCCCGCTCCCACTTTTCCTCCCACCTCCTCCCCAGCACGATGATGCATTGCACCTTGACCACGCAAGGAAGCCATAAAGCAAGGCTGAGGGACGGGGCAGAGCAAGACGAATGGATTTAATATCAACCCGAACGGAGCGTGGGCTATCGCACCAAATGAATTATTCATTTTGGATTCAATAACAGCCTCCATTTCGCATTGGCCCACAGCTCTCACGGGCACGAGATGCCAAAGAGGATGGGGTAGGCAGTCCCACCGGGTTTTCGGGTACGGCATGCCATCACCCAGCTGAGAGCAATGCAGCTTCGCACCAGCCAGGAGGTCTGTGCCAAACCCCAACCAGCCCGGGACGGAAACAAATAATGGGGCAGATCAATAAAGAAAATCTCCCTCCCTCCCACCCCTGTCTTAGCGTTGTGGTGGTAACGACCCCCCATCACTATGACCCTAAAACACAACGATAATCTCTTCGGAACTCGAAATACCCCCAATGAAGATTGCGCTCTGCCTGTGCCTTTTGCGAGCAGCTAAGTGCCGATAAAAGCTGGTATTAATGAATCCCTCAGCGACCCCAAGCTCTGCTGTCAGCACGAAACCGCTCCGGTCTAATAGTCCCATGATAGGCACAGCCTCTATCCCAGGGGGTGGGAGGGATGAGAGAGGGCTGGGGGAGCTAAACAATTCAAGCCTATTTTTTTCCCCACCGCTGAGGAATTAAGCCCATTTTCTCAGCCTTAAAATACCGAGGGATTTTTTTTTTTTTTTTTTTCCTTGGGGAAA